TTAACGTAGTAGAATGAAGCAGGGTGAGGCTGAAAGCCGTCGAAGCGAAACGAGGCCGCTGAACGAGCGTGACACGCGGCTTGAAAGCAGCGGAGCTTTTATTATGCCACACTTTACCGCTTCCGCTCCTTCCGGTCGTGCGTATGTGGGGGGAAAAGCAGCGCTGTTTTATCATACTAGATACATTTGAAAGTTCTGTTATTATGCTACTCTGTGCGGCCGTCACCGGTCTATTAAAACGCACAACATATTAAAGCGTCTTTGGTGTTTCCATATTTTCTACAAAACAAAACCGGAAATTGAGGGTGTATGACGTCATTGGCAGGTGACACAATGACACTATGGACACGGCCCGTGTCACTAGTTAAAATTGCTTATTTCTCTGGATTTAAACATTCTTTAAACATTAAAACATTTGGGATAATGTAGGTACACAAGTCAGCAAAATATATAACACTGTTCTAGTGGTTTTTTGATATTTTAATTTAAAAAATCTTACATATTGTGCCTTTAAATAATTAAATAAAAATATTTTTTAATTAATACAGCAGCAGTTTATTTGATGATCTAAAGGAATGGTCATTTTCATTTGATTACATTTTAAAGATTGATTAGATTCATTAAGTTTTAATTAATTTGATTGCGTGTGTTTTTAGGATGATAAGTGTTAAATCATTTTTAAAAATTAAAACCAAATTTGACGCAAAAAAAATAAAATGGGATTTCAAAAAAATAAAACCGATTTCATGGGGTCTTTTAATATTGTGAATTTAAATAAATTAGTAATTGGTTAATTTTATGATGTTCAGGTGATTAGTTGATTTATATTTAATTTAATAATTGAAACTGAACCTAGAATAAGTACGGAAAGCACAGAACTTAGGAAATATTACAGTTATATTATTTCCTAGGAATAGTTACTGCACAAAGAAAACTTCTAACTGTGAACACAACTGTCAGGTTAACAGTCCTTTGGAAAAAATTCTGAAATATATTTGTAAACTGGTTTTACAAGAAAAACTTAACGAAGGGGAAAGAATCATCTTTGCATACTCTACTCAGTGCTTTTAATTTATTGCATTATGCAGCATGTGAGACTAGGCATGGGCCGGTATGAGATTTTGACGGTATGTTAACCTTAAGCAAAAATATCACGGTTTCACGGTATTGTTGTTACAGCTGTAAAATGTGTTACTTTTAAATGTCTGGGTAAAAAAAAAAAGCTAAACACAATATATTTTGAGGAACATACAGAATATTTGGAACAGTAGTATTTGTTTATTTTTTCTTTGATTTATTTCTGAAATGTGGGCTGTCCTGCAGCTTTTGATGTGGATGGTTGATTTGCTGCTAGAGCTGCTGCCCTAAAAAGAACTGACATCTTTATTTAACCTAAATCTGTAATTATAGTTATTTAATTGTAGTTATATAATTCATATACATAAAATGTATATAATTTCATATTTATTTATTTATATAATTTCATATACATAATTTGATTTAATAATAACCCAATTTGAAGCAAAAACAATGTTCTGACTAGCTTTGTGAAATTATACTACATGCCTGAACGAATCAAACAGCAGATGCTCTGAATGGGACGCATATTCACTCTCTGACAGCAGGAGGCACTGATACAGCGTTTCCTTGGTTATAGGTGAGACAGTGATAGGCTGCATCATGTGACTTTAAATTTACTCCCAAGTGTGTTGTGAAGTTGCTGGATTTGCTGAAAATGTCATCTGCCATTTAAAACTAAGTATTACCTGACCACTATTTGGCAGTTTGGCGTTCACATTCCCAATTGCATTTCACACCATTGGATTCGGGATAGAGGGAGGCATGAGAAGAGTTGCTGATTCAGCAGCAGCAGGCAGGATTACTCGTTTCCGGCTTTATGAACCTGTCTGCCATCAGTCTGCTGTTTGATTGTCTCCGGTCTAACTCATCCTCCCCGTCAGCTAATGCTGGTTTACATATTCAGCACTTGTGCTGGCAACTTTGTGTGCTGAAACGGTTCATGATCTGTATTCCACATGGTCTGGCTGCCTTTGAGGACTTTTTTTTTACAACAGGAAGAGACTGAGGCTCCAGATGCTGAGTGTTTCTAAATATGTGAGCGTTTGTAGTGAGACTGAGTGAATAGAATTGAAAAAGTTGCTCTCTGGAGAGGCCTCAAGTGCACCTGCTGGGATTTTTTAACAGATGACAGCTGCATTGCATGCCTGACATAGCTCAGGCTTTCTTGGCATCACATGGGTGTTCAAACAGAGCGTGTTAACCTCAACCTTTCTTTGCACGAACTGGGCTAGGTTTCAAGGCCAACAAGTTTTCAAATATGTTCAGAATAGCAGGTATTCATGCCACTCATACTAAATGTATTGTACAGAAAACATTATGCTAATATTCCAGTCTTAGAGACCAATTAAACTCCTTTTTTTCCCAGTTTTAATTTTTCTGGATTCCATTTTGATGGTTAAATAATTTTAGTCATTTTGATTTAATCATTAAAAATATGCCAAATTCTGTGACTTTTCCTGCAAATTGCAATTTTATGACTGGATTTCCCAATTGGCCCTGCAATCGAAGCATAGCCTTTAGGACTCTAGGATCTCTAGGCCTTTAGGATATCTGACTTCTTTTGTTGTTGTTCAGGTGTGATCTACCTGAAGAACATGGTGACACAGCACTGGAGTGAAGGAGATAATGCAAACACTGAAGGGCCTACCAGTAACATCCCAGAAGAGGACAGGCAGTTCATTCGAGACCACATAGTGGAGGCAATCATCCAATCCCCAGAGCGCCTCAGGTAACACAGCTGTACACAGAGTGGTGGGATGAAAGATCACTTTCTTCTATAACTTTTTTTCTTCTCACTTTCATAGAGTGCAACTCACAACTTGCATTCACCACATGATCAAGCATGACTACCCCGCAAGATGGACTGCTATCGTCGACAAGATTGGCTTTTACCTGCAGTCTGATAACAGTGGCTGCTGGCTGGGCATCCTGCTGTGCCTCTACCAGCTGGTCAAGAATTATGAGTAAGAGAGCCGTGAAACACTCACAGGTGGTGTTCAAACTGAGCATGATTTCTGAATGGATTTGAGAAACCAGGCTTTGGCACTGAGTGTCTGATTTGATATTTTGCAGTTGCTTAAATCGGATAAGTTCAGACAGTGTATTCAGTTTTAGTTGGTTGTTATGGGAAAGGCGTAGGCATCAACATGATGCCAAGTGACATTGTTCTAAAATGACTGAGTAGCAGTCTAAAATGGAAATCTGGAAATTTTGCCCCGCCACTACCCATCATAGCAAAGAAGACCGTTTACATTTTACATATGAGATGAAATCATTCTGGTTTTATTTCTGTTTTAATCGGAATGTTGACACATTGGAGCTGCACGATTGACAAATATCATAATCACAATTTCCATTGAATGATGTTACATTGTTTAAAGCAAATGCATGCCATATTTTTATATGAAAATAAGCTGAAAACACTCTAGCTGAAAAACTTTTATCAGTTTGTCAGTGTGAACAAAGCCATACTATATACCACCAATGTTGAGTCCTGATAGAAGTCTGTTTTTTTTTTTTTTGTAAGGTATAAGAAGCCTGAGGAGCGCCAGCCATTGGTCGCTGCCATGCAGATCTTTATGCCCATGTTGAAGGACCGATTCGTACAGCTTCTGCCGGACCAATCCAATGACTCTGCCCTGGTGCAGAAACAGATCTTCAAGATCCTTTACGCTCTCTTCCAGGTGTTACCATCACTTCTGGTGCCTGTACTAAAGGAGCTTGCAACTTTTCCACAATGAAGCTTTTGTGGTTTTGGTCTCATGAATTGATTGGTCTGTTTTTACAGTACAACCTCCCTCTGGAACTGATTAATCGCCAGATTCTGACCGAGTGGATGGAGATTCTGAAGACTGTCGTGGACAGAGATGTTCCTCCAGTAAGACGTTTTTTGTTTATAATGCCTATTGTGTTTGGGCTCACGTGAGAGTTTAGCATAATGGAAGGCTTGGCTTTAATGGTCTCACAGTGTCTGTCGATTGGCTGTGGGTGGACGGTGTGCGTAGCGTCCATCTACGTTTAGTGCCGTCTCCGGTCTGTGTCTTACAGGCCGTGAGATGGTTCTCACATCACACTCACAGCCACAGAGCCAATGGAGATCATAGTACTGTCCCAGTGACGTCTAAACGACCATCCACCACTGGCCAGCCTCCATAGTCTCCTACAAGATCCAGTAAACTCCACTTAAAGATCATGAATCAATGGCTATGTTCAGGAAAACATACTACTGTACTACTATTTGTAGTATGTATACTGTGAACGAAATACCTGGGTGTGGCATACTACAGTTAGGAAAGTTTCACATATTGTTAATAGTATGCAGTGTTCAGTTTTGTCTCTAATCTTCTAAAGTGCTTGTGTGTGTGGCTTTGCAGGAGGCCCTTCAGGTGGATGAAGACGAGAGGCCCGAGCTGCCCTGGTGGAAGTGCAAGAAGTGGGCACTTCACATCCTCGCCCGGCTCTTCGAAAGGTGCAGTACTAACATAACATCACTTCCTCCCAGGAACACTAATGATAAAGTTTTCACAGATGACTCATGGTCCATTTGCATCCCAGCCCACGCGGAGCAGTTGGAAACACTCGAGTAGTTATTTTCAGCACAAGGTCTTGTGTGTTTGAAACGGTTACTGGATTTTCATGCATGTTTTTGCCCCAAGGTATGGCAGCCCTGGCAACACAACCAAAGAGTATACAGAGTTTGCAGAGCTTTTCCTCAAGGGTTATGCCGTGGCTGCACAGCAGGTAAACAGGAGACTTCAGTAGGTTGTTCAGTGGGTTTTTGACATGTTGAGATAACTGATGACCTTTGACTGTTTGGTTCTGGTAGGTACTGTTGAAGGTGTTGTATCAGTATAAGGAAAAGCAATACGTGGCTCCCAGAGTCTTGCAGCAGACACTAAATTACATCAACCAGGGAATCGCACATGCCGTCACTTGGAAGAACCTAAAGCCACACATCCAAGTATGTAGATGTTCTTTTACATGTTTTTTTTCATAATGAAATTCCTAAGTAATATTAGGGACAGTATAGTAAAGTTGCAACATAATGGAAGTATTTTCTTCCGTATTGTCATATATATTTTTTTCTTTTTTAATATGTATGTTTGGCAGATTGGAATGAGAGTTTGCAGCTGATCGTAAAAAGTGTGCGAGGTTTATGCAGATGAAAATACTGGTGAAGTCAGGCATACGTTGACAGTGATGTCTTTTGATTTTAAAAATTACAAGCTCAAAAAAATAAATAAATAAAACGCATCATGCATGGATGAGCCGTTCACAATAAGATCAAAAATATTAATTTAGAAATTAGATGCCTTGAATTTCCATGCTAAATTTGGAAAACCAAAAAGCCAGTGTTGCCAAATTAAGTAAAATTTAGTTTTAAAAGGTCAGGTTTCTTTCTTTCTTTCTTTCTTTTTTTAAGGAAAAATATTGTTTTAGTTTTTCCCATAATGCATCAATATAACAATTCATGTTTACCAAAAGTTTTCTTAAAGGCATAGTTCACCCAAAATGAAAACACTGTAATTTACTCACCCTCAAGTTGCTCCAAACCTGCATATACATTTTATTTATTTTTTTTTCTCTCTCTATTGAGCACAAAACATTTTGATGAAGGTTTGTAATTAAACTGTTGATGGTAGTCATTGCCTTCCATAGTAGTTTATTATTTTATTTTTTTTCCATATTATGGAAAGTCAGTGGCTACCATCTATTGTTTGGTTACCACCATTATTCAACATATCTTTTATGTGCAACAAAAAGAAACTCATGAGGACCTGGTCCTCAAAACTCACAGGTTTGGAACAATTTGAAGGCGAGTAAATGATGACAGAATTTTAATTTTTGGGTGAATCGCTTTAAGATGTTTGAAACCTTCATCTCCGTAGGGACTTCTGTAAACTTCTATGAACTGGTCACTGAATCAGTATATCGGATTGATTAATTGAAACTGACAGTTGAAAAGTATTGATACATGGAAATAAATCAGACTTTCCTAAAACACTGTTTTCGCAAGTGAGATTTAAATCAGAGATCCTATTTAAATAAATCTTGTCAGTTCTCTCAAAGTCACAAGTTCTAAAGAGCCAATAGGTGCATTTTCTAACAAAAATATTGATTCTTAATTATTTAATTTATCTCCTAACCCTGGTTGGAGCTACTGAAGTACGTGAGTGTGTTGCGAGTAATAAGCCATGAGTAGCTGTGCATTTGTGATTTTACTGCAAGTGCATTCTTAAGTGAAAACTTTCTTAACCAGTGTAAAATTACTGTAAAGCACTGCCTCATGTTGTCACACAACTTATCCAAGTTCTTGTTGTACAACTTGAATGTGTCTGGTTTCAGGGAATCATTCAGGACGTGGTGTTCCCCCTCATGTGCTACACAGACAGCGATGAAGAGCTCTGGCAGGAAGACCCTTATGAATACATCCGCATGAAATTTGGTTAGAACACCACCTTATTTTTCTGAACCACTAAAAGTTTCTTTGAGTAGAAGACTAAAGCCAGATATATCTGCTCATTCTTTCTTTCTCTCGCTCTGCTTCTTCTTAGATGTTTTTGAAGACTTCATCTCCCCCACCACTGCAGCTCAGACGCTCCTCTTCACCGCTTGCAACAAAAGGAAGGAGGTGGGTGTTTGGAGGTGCCATCTGGCATGAGTCCTATGATGTGATTGTTTTTGGCTGAGTTTTGTATATCTCTTACTGCCAACCCTCATGTATCCAATCAGCACCCGGCAGCTCCTTCAACAGAACTGTTGGATGCTTCTGATGCCAGGTGGAAAGAACTTCTCCGTCATCTCAAAGAGCTGTGTCTCTTATTCCAATGAAGCATTTTTCTTTCTTTGTAGTTTGACTTAGTTTTTATTAGGGCTGCAATGAACAATTTTTTTGATAAGAAATTAATCTGATGATTATTTACTCGGTCGTACCGTTAACTCGGTCTGTATGATGTGCATGAAGCCCGTGACATTTAACAGAGATTTGCTTCCTCTCAGGACAAACCTTTATGTAAAATGGAATTACTGACACGGTTTTCTAGCATTTACAGAATGAAAGTTGAAAAATGTAAGTTCTGCGCAGGGGAAAGCAAATTTGAAGACGAGCCATGCTACACTTGAATAATTGTTTTTTTTTAAGATCATACTATGATGCATTCTTATGTTTGAATAACTTGATTCTTTTTTAGCACTTTTCCTGCAGCCGTTCACTCTGTATCCTCCACTATATTTGTCCATAATGCACTACTGTAAAGTGACATGACTGACAAGATATTTTCACTTGCAGACGTGATTAATCGTGTCAAGTTCATTGTCGGATTTTATTGATTAGTTGTTGCAGCCCTAGTTTTTATGATTGGTAGGAATTACTTGATTCCGCACTAGTTTAGGAATACTATGCTTAATTTGAAACTGTCCAACCCTTAAATTGGCTATTGCTTATTCGTGCACATGCTCTGTCAGAGCTTTCTCAGGTGTGTAAGTAACTTGAGAGTTTGAGTTCCAGCCTGTGTTTTGAAAGTCTCCATCGATTGGCTGTGGGTGGACGGTGTGCGTAGTGTCCATCTGCGTCTAGTGCTGTCTCCATTCTGTGTCTTACAGGCTGTGAGACGGTTCTCATGCCAAACTCACAGCCACAGAGCCAATGGAGATCATAGTACTGTCCCAGTGACGTCTAAACGACCATCCACCACTGGCCAGCCTCCATAGTCTCCTACAAGATCCAGTAAACTCCACTTAAAGATCATGAATCAATGGCTATGTTCAGGAAAACATACTACTGTACTACTATTTGTAGTATGTATACTGTGAACGAAATACCTGGGTGTGGCATACTACAGTTAGGAAAGTTTCACATATTGTTAATAGTATGCAGTGTTCAGTTTTGTCTCTAATCTTCTAAAGTGCTTGTGTGTGTGGCTTTGCAGGAGGCCCTTCAGGTGGATGAAGACGAGAGGCCCGAGCTGCCCTGGTGGAAGTGCAAGAAGTGGGCACTTCACATCCTCGCCCGGCTCTTCGAAAGGTGCAGTACTAACATAACATCACTTCCTCCCAGGAACACTAATGATAAAGTTTTCACAGATGACTCATGGTCCATTTGCATCCCAGCCCACGCGGAGCAGTTGGAAACACTCGAGTAGTTATTTTCAGCACAAGGTCTTGTGTGTTTGAAACGGTTACTGGATTTTCATGCATGTTTTTGCCCCAAGGTATGGCAGCCCTGGCAACACAACCAAAGAGTATACAGAGTTTGCAGAGCTTTTCCTCAAGGGTTATGCCGTGGCTGCACAGCAGGTAAACAGGAGACTTCAGTAGGTTGTTCAGTGGGTTTTTGACATGTTGAGATAACTGATGACCTTTGACTGTTTGGTTCTGGTAGGTACTGTTGAAGGTGTTGTATCAGTATAAGGAAAAGCAATACGTGGCTCCCAGAGTCTTGCAGCAGACACTAAATTACATCAACCAGGGAATCGCACATGCCGTCACTTGGAAGAACCTAAAGCCACACATCCAAGTATGTAGATGTTCTTTTACATGTTTTTTTTCATAATGAAATTCCTAAGTAATATTAGGGACAGTATAGTAAAGTTGCAACATAATGGAAGTATTTTCTTCCGTATTGTCATATATATTTTTTTCTTTTTTAATATGTATGTTTGGCAGATTGGAATGAGAGTTTGCAGCTGATCGTAAAAAGTGTGCGAGGTTTATGCAGATGAAAATACTGGTGAAGTCAGGCATACGTTGACAGTGATGTCTTTTGATTTTAAAAATTACAAGCTCAAAAAAATAAATAAATAAAACGCATCATGCATGGATGAGCCGTTCACAATAAGATCAAAAATATTAATTTAGAAATTAGATGCCTTGAATTTCCATGCTAAATTTGGAAAACCAAAAAGCCAGTGTTGCCAAATTAAGTAAAATTTAGTTTTAAAAGGTCAGGTTTCTTTCTTTCTTTCTTTCTTTTTTTAAGGAAAAATATTGTTTTAGTTTTTCCCATAATGCATCAATATAACAATTCATGTTTACCAAAAGTTTTCTTAAAGGCATAGTTCACCCAAAATGAAAACACTGTAATTTACTCACCCTCAAGTTGCTCCAAACCTGCATATACATTTTATTTATTTTTTTTTCTCTCTCTATTGAGCACAAAACATTTTGATGAAGGTTTGTAATTAAACTGTTGATGGTAGTCATTGCCTTCCATAGTAGTTTATTATTTTATTTTTTTTCCATATTATGGAAAGTCAGTGGCTACCATCTATTGTTTGGTTACCACCATTATTCAACATATCTTTTATGTGCAACAAAAAGAAACTCATGAGGACCTGGTCCTCAAAACTCACAGGTTTGGAACAATTTGAAGGCGAGTAAATGATGACAGAATTTTAATTTTTGGGTGAATCGCTTTAAGACGTTTGAAACCTTCATCTCCGTAGGGACTTCTGTAAACTTCTATGAACTGGTCACTGAATCAGTATATCGGATTGATTAATTGAAACTGACAGTTGAAAAGTATTGATACATGGAAATAAATCAGACTTTCCTAAAACACTGTTTTCGCAAGTGAGATTTAAATCAGAGATCCTATTTAAATAAATCTTGTCAGTTCTCTCAAAGTCACAAGTTCTAAAGAGCCAATAGGTGCATTTTCTAAGAAAAATATTGATTCTTAATTATTTAATTTATCTCCTAACCCTGGTTGGAGCTACTGAAGTACGTGAGTGTGTTGCGAGTAATAAGCCATGAGTAGCTGTGCATTTGTGATTTTACTGCAAGTGCATTCTTAAGTGAAAACTTTCTTAACCAGTGTAAAATTACTGTAAAGCACTGCCTCATGTTGTCACACAACTTATCCAAGTTCTTGTTGTACAACTTGAATGTGTCTGGTTTCAGGGAATCATTCAGGACGTGGTGTTCCCCCTCATGTGCTACACAGACAGCGATGAAGAGCTCTGGCAGGAAGACCCTTATGAATACATCCGCATGAAATTTGGTTAGAACACCACCTTATTTTTCTGAACCACTAAAAGTTTCTTTGAGTAGAAGACTAAAGCCAGATATATCTGCTCATTCTTTCTTTCTCTCGCTCTGCTTCTTCTTAGATGTTTTTGAAGACTTCATCTCCCCCACCACTGCAGCTCAGACGCTCCTCTTCACCGCTTGCAACAAAAGGAAGGAGGTGGGTGTTTGGAGGTGCCATCTGGCATGAGTCCTATGATGTGATTGTTTTTGGCTGAGTTTTGTATATCTCTTACTGCCAACCCTCATGTATCCAATCAGCACCCGGCAGCTCCTTCAACAGAACTGTTGGATGCTTCTGATGCCAGGTGGAAAGAACTTCTCCGTGTTCCCCCTCATGTGCTACACAGACAGCGATGAAGAGCTCTGGCAGGAAGACCCTTATGAATACATCCGCATGAAATTTGGTTAGAACACCACCTTATTTTTCTGAACCACTAAAAGTTTCTTTGAGTAGAAGACTAAAGCCAGATATATCTGCTCATTCTTTCTTTCTCTCGCTCTGCTTCTTCTTAGATGTTTTTGAAGACTTCATCTCCCCCACCACTGCAGCTCAGACGCTCCTCTTCACCGCTTGCAACAAAAGGAAGGAGGTGGGTGTTTGGAGGTGCCATCTGGCATGAGTCCTATGATGTGATTGTTTTTGGCTGAGTTTTGTATATCTCTTACTGCCAACCCTCATGTATCCAATCAGCACCCGGCAGCTCCTTCAACAGAACTGTTGGATGCTTCTGATGCCAGGTGGAAAGAACTTCTCCGTCATCTCAAAGAGCTGTGTCTCTTATTCCAATGAAGCATTTTTCTTTCTTTGTAGTTTGACTTAGTTTTTATTAGGGCTGCAATGAACAATTTTTTTGATAAGAAATTAATCTGATGATTATTTACTCGGTCGTACCGTTAACTCGGTCTGTATGATGTGCATGAAGCCCGTGACATTTAACAGAGATTTGCTTCCTCTCAGGACAAACCTTTATGTAAAATGGAATTACTGACACGGTTTTCTAGCATTTACAGAATGAAAGTTGAAAAATGTAAGTTCTGCGCAGGGGAAAGCAAATTTGAAGACGAGCCATGCTACACTTGAATAATTGTTTTTTTTTAAGATCATACTATGATGCATTCTTATGTTTGAATAACTTGATTCTTTTTTAGCACTTTTCCTGCAGCCGTTCACTCTGTATCCTCCACTATATTTGTCCATAATGCACTACTGTAAAGTGACATGACTGACAAGATATTTTCACTTGCAGACGTGATTAATCGTGTCAAGTTCATTGTCGGATTTTATTGATTAGTTGTTGCAGCCCTAGTTTTTATGATTGGTAGGAATTACTTGATTCCGCACTAGTTTAGGAATACTATGCTTAATTTGAAACTGTCCAACCCTTAAATTGGCTATTGCTTATTCGTGCACATGCTCTGTCAGAGCTTTCTCAGGTGTGTAAGTAACTTGAGAGTTTGAGTTCCAGCCTGTGTTTTGAAAGTCTCCATCGATTGGCTGTGGGTGGACGGTGTGCGTAGTGTCCATCTGCGTCTAGTGCTGTCTCCATTCTGTGTCTTACAGGCTGTGAGACGGTTCTCATGCCAAACTCACAGCCACAGAGCCAATGGAGATCATAGTACTGGCCCAGTGATGTCTAAACGACCATCCACCACTGGCCAGCCTCCATAGTCTCCTACAAAACCTACACATGACATGAATCATGAATTGCTTTGGTATTTTGAATCCTATGTTAACCACCTTTGTTGTATAACAGGTGCTGCAGAAGTCCATGGGCTTCTGTTATCAGATCCTCACAGACCCTGCCTGTGACCCCAGGAAAAAAGATGGCGCTCTTCATATGATTGGCTCGCTGGCTGAGATTCTTCTCAAGGTGATTTTTAAATTAATATTAATAACAATAAAATATAATAAGAAACAATACATATTTTGTTTTAATTGTTTTTTTTTAACTGTTTAAACATGTATTCTAATAAATAAGCTTATGACACCAAAATGTGCAAAAACTACTAGCCCAATTAATATTAAAGACAAATTAATGGTCTGTAATAAAATAAGAACAAATAAAGAAATGACAAGCAGTAAATGAAATAAATTTATAAAATATATCAAATACATTTTTTCAGGTAGTTCTAACAGTAGTATTCAGGTGCAGAAATTGAATGATTGATTAATGACGCAGATGGCAGCATATTGGACTGCTGTCACCTTAAGACCAAATTCACTATCTAATATTATGATACACATTCAACTTCTTTCTCAGCTGTTCACTTAAGACATAACTGATTGTGTTTGAGGATACTCACCAAAACATTGATTTTTGACATTGTTTGTACTTGTCCATTCAAGACTCAAAAGATCTTTTGCATTTGCTTGTGCTTAAATGGTCTAAAATCGCTTGAATGTTTAGATTGGCAAGGCTTAAAAAGCAGCATTGGTTATTCTAGGATTGAACATTCTGAGTTGTATGGATGATTTTTTTTTTCTTCAATCAGAGGAAGATCTACAAAGACCAGATGGAGTTCATGTTGCAGAATCATGTCTTCCCTCTGTTCCGCAGTGAGCTGGGTTACATGAGAGCCAGGGTGAGAGATGTGCTCATTGCAGTTATTAAACATTAGTTCAGCCTCTAGATGAAAGCAACAACTTGAGTGCTGCAAACTGTCGGCTTGTCTTAGTTCATGGTAATTCTGCCTCTAGGCCTGCTGGGTTCTTCATTACTTCTGTGAGGTCAAGTTCAAGATTGACCAGAACTTGCAGACAGCCCTTGAGCTCACCCGCCTGTGTCTGATCAACGACAACGAGATGCCTGTTAAAGTGGAGGCTGCCATTGCCCTCCAGGTCCTCATCAGCAATCAGGAGAAAGGTAAGATTTCACTCATTTATCTCCCTTTTTCTGTTTAACGCTTTCGTCTTGCATGAGCTGAATTTGAGATGACTTAGTGTGGTTTTCCCATCAGCCAAAGATTACATCACCCCCCACATCCGACCCGTGATGCAGGCTCTCCTCCAAATTGTGCGTGAGACAGAGAATGACGATCTTACCAACGTCATCCAGAAGATGATCTGCGAGTACAGTGAGGAGGTCACACCAATCGCTGTAGAGATGACCCAGCATTTGGTGAGAGCCATTGAAATATTCATTTAACCCTGTAAAGCCTGACATGAAATAACAGCTCTAAAAAATTTATTTTTGAAATGGGAGAGTTTAGACAAAATCTTTAAAAAAAAAAAGGTATTTGTACGTGTTCGTTGTTTGGTATCATATTTGATAACGGAGAAAATATGATAAAAAGAGAATATGTAGCTCATACTTGAGGAGGAAAAAAAACTACATTTTTAATAAGACCAAACTGCATAAAATAAACTGCATATAAATATCAGTTGTCACTCTTTATCTCCTAATAATATGTCTTAATGCAATGATATTTAAATACTTATTATTATGATCATAGATCTGTAGCTTTTATTATAGGGGCAAAGCATATAATGCAGTGCAATACAATGATTGGGAGGTAGACAAATAAACATTCCTCAAAAAATATTTTTTTTGTCATATTTGATACATTTTAACATGATTTTTCTGAAAATGAGATATGAATAATCAAGTAATCAAGTGAAAGTTGCTTCAGTTCAGTAAGTGTTCATCTTGAAATATTACTAACAAT